GTAAGTCCGCCACACAGCAAGAGCAGCCTGTGCAAAGGGCTTTAGGCACTGAACATCTTAGGGTATCCGTGGAGCAGAAAACAGGGCCTTATGGTGAGGGAAGGAAGGTCAGACTGGCAGTTTAGCAAGATCCCTCTTGCTGCTTTTTTAGGGTGGAGTGGTGCTCTGCAGAGCCTTGCAAGGAGGTGGCCCTGCAGGGCCAGAGGAGCTCAGACAGGGCCTCCTATCGGAGGGCCTCCTATCGGCCCTCATCTCTCTCTCTCTCTCTCTCTCTCTCTCTCTCTCTCTCTCTCTCTCACACACACACACACACACACACACAGACAGACAGACAGACACACACACACACACACACACACAGACAGACAGACAGACACACACACACACACACACACATCCTCTTGCACAGCTTGGGCTTCCCTGCCTATTCACTCACCTACTGTGTTTCAGCTGCTTCCAAGCACGCTCCTTCCTTGCCCCTCTTCCTCAGCGAATGAGGCAGGGCTGTGCCTTCCTGGGGGTCCCTCCTGCCTCCTGTCTCCAAAAATCTTTCAAGTTGTAAAACGCTTTCAACCTGTAAAACCCTGCTATGTCTATGAGGAGGCCTTGCCCAGCTGCTAAGCTCAACCAGTCCCTCCCTGAGGAACAAAATCTGGCTCACAGCCCCTCCCCCCACGGTCTTTATTTCTTCCAATTCCCAACTCATCTCCAGGGATCTCTTAACCCAGAAGTCATATGGTGTCACAGCACTGCTTCAAATCCATCCGTGGTCACTACAAGTTTGGATGGTGCCTATCACCTGTAGAATTAAGACCCAACTCCTTGCCAGCCTTAAAATGCTTTCGTGAGCTAATCCCACCCATTTCATCTCTCAGCAAGACTTCTAACTAGTATTTATTTTTGTTTCTCTGGACACATCATACTATACCACACCTCTGTGCCTTTGCTTATGTTGGTCCTCTTGCCTGGAACAGCCTGCCTCCTCCTGAGCCTGACTGCCTCAGAACTAAAGTCACCTCCTTCAGGCAGTCTTTCTTGATCTCACTTCCTGCCCTACAAGTTTGGATGGTGCATATCTCAAATTCCCATGCCATGGTACTGAAATCTATCATGGCACACATCATCTCATATTGTTAGTATCTATTGTATGTCTTCTGCTCCCACTAGAAAGAGCTTTGGAGGGCAAAGACTGTCTTATTTCTGAATGGGAGTCCAGGGAAGCAGGGAGAAGCCCCCAAAGGGTAGGGCCCCCTGTTGTAGGATTCAGGGTGTGAACAGAGGTTCAAGGACAGGATGGCAAGTGTACAGATCTCTCTGTGGTCACTAAAGTATGGGGTGTGGGACTGTACGGGAATGGGGGCCTCCGGGTGGGTTGGGCTAAGTTCAGTGGAGGATGGAGAGGGGTATGCAAGACCCAGGGAGTGATGACCTTGGCTGTGGGGTGGAATCCAGCTTTGGAGGAACTAACCAATACAAGAGACCTAAGTTAAGTTGGTGGGAAGGAAGATAGGGAGTGGGGCCTCGGGCACCACCACAGGGGTCGGGAAGGCCCCATCTGGGAGGCGTATCTAGTCCTAGGGCTTCCTGGCAGCCAGCGCCATCTGCTGCACACTCAGAAAGCCCTGAGTCTGCCCCTGCTGGGAAGACCCAGTACTCTTTAGCACAGCTTAGACCCCCACTTTTTCTCTCCAGGGCCCAGCCTGTCTGTCCCCCAGCTATGCCCAGACCCTTGACTGCAGCTGGAACATGTGCCCTCAGAATGAAATCTCTGCATGGCTTCTTATCATCCATAGCTGAATTCAGAACAAGCCCAGCCTCTTCGTCTTGGTAAGTACAAAGGCTGTCACCATCGGACTTTTGTCCAGATCCGCAGGTCCTTTCCCCAGGCATCTTGGCTCAGCCCCAGCAGGCCTGACTCACTCCATTCTGATGGGTGCTGACTTCCAGCTTTCATGGCAGACTGCTTCTTACCAATGCAAAAGATCCCCAGCATGAAAGCCAGATAGGAGCAGAGCTGGTCCAGGTAAACCCTGGGGCTCCTTGGAATCCCATTTATGGGTCATTCCCCAGCTACTCCTAGTAGTGCCCACTTCCCCAGCCCCTTTGGGCTCTCCCAGCCCTCTGGTTTCTTCTTGTGGCAGCAGCCATGACACTAACCGAATGGTCTCTCCTACTACCCAAGAGACCCTCAAGATCTTCCTTTGCAGTCCAGGACCTGGCTCTGCTGGCTTTCGGTGGACGTTAGCTAAGTGACCCAAGCAATGCACAGGGATTTGGGGAGGAGAGGGATTACAAGGGTGGTCTCTGTAGCAGAAGTGACAGCTCCAGGTGGAAGAGGGGCAGTCAGAGGAGCAAAAGGGGTGACCCCTGTATCTGGAGGAGTTGGGGCTCAAGAAAGGAATGGGGTACTGTGAGGGGGCAGGGTTGAAAGAAAAAGGGCTCAAGGGAATATTCAGTGCAAGGGATAGGGAGTGTAAGGGTTCAGGATGAGGCTCAGAAGGAGTGAAGAAGTTCAGCACAGGAAGAGGGGTTCAGGGTGGGGTCCCCCAGGAGTGGAAGACAAGGGGCAGCCTTGCTAGGGCCTTCATAATTCATAGCCAGAGTGAAGGGCTTTGCTCAACTTTTTCTCTTTCCCTTGGGGAGTCTATCACTCAGACATTTCTGAGTCCAAAAGTGGTGTAGAGTTGAGGGTCACAGTTTTGGCTTCTGGGCTCTCCTGACACGCAGTTGATGGATGTCACACAGCAAGCCCAGCTCTGAGCCCCCAACCTGCCCAGTGCCCTTCTACACTGTGAGAGCCCACAGCAGCACACACAGTTGTGTCGGTCTCCTTCTCCCTTCCCTGCTTCCCCTAAACCCTCAGGTGAAATAGTCCACATAGTGATTATTTAACCACAACTTGTATCCTAAAGTCTGCACAGAGCTTGATGCTTCACACAGGTTGTTAAAAATGCATATCTATCACTGGGGATGTAGCTCAGTGGCAAAGAGCTCTTGCCTAGCCTGTGTGACGGTTCGAGCCCCAGCACTTCACACAAACAAATATAGATCTATTATCTCATGTAAGTCTTACTGTATTCCTGTAAAATTACATTTCAGCTTGATGATCTTTTTCTTTGAGACAGGGTCTCCATATGTAGTCCAGGCTGGCCTCAAACTGGTGGCCAACCTCCTGCTTCAGCCTCCCGAGTGCTGGAATTACAGGTGTGTACTACCACACTGGGCCGACAACTGTGGTTTTATGATTATTAAGTAACAAAGATTGCCTCCTGGTAGACACTGTCTTACCTCCCTGAGCCTCTGTCCCTTCTGGACCCTCACTGTGCCCAAGTCTGTCTCTACCTCTTGCCCTATCCTTGACTGTCACCATCAAGGATGGTTACTCCCACCACTTGGTAATGACAACACCACATGCTGAGGTTGCCTACATGTGTACCAAGAGTGAGCAATCGAAATTGCTGTATTAGATTGGCCACTGCTGAGAGCAGACCCTTACAGGTACCAGTTTAGAACTTTTCTTTTTAGTTCAACAGACTTTAACCCAGGTCTTATGGCCCCTGGTTTAGGTGGGTGTGTGGTCCTACACATGTAAATCACCTGGGCATGTCATGAGTGTGGCTTGTCCCTCCCACTCCCTCCCTCTCTCTCTCGCGCTCTCTCTCTCTGTTTCTCTCTCATTTCATTAATAGAGGAGATTGATTATAAAGCACCAAACATCTGGCCAAAATATTCGCCGTAACAGTGGAGAAAAGAGAGGAAAACAAGGCCTTGCTGCTGATTAAACGTAACCACCTCCAATTATTTGTTAAGCCCGGGATTTTCAGGTTCATCAGTTCTTGGAGCTCTCTCCCTGGGCTGAGTTCTGGCCTTGGCTATGCAATGCCTTTCAACCTTCCCGGGTAGGGCGGGGGGACCAGTCTGAAGGGAAATGTAAAGTAGGAAGGATGTGGCTGAGACTTCGGGGGACTTCCCATCCGCAATGTGACAGCTCTCATTAAGGGAATGTCGGGAATGGGGAGTCTTTGGGAGTCCAGAGGCCACTTCCCAACCCCTAACAGGGGTCCCTGTCACACAGTAGCCACTCCTATGACATATAGGCCCCATCACTGGAGATATTAGGCAAAAGGTAAGGAATGCTTACTACGTATGTGTGTGTGGGGGGGTTCTGATAGGTTAATCTTGAACTATATCAAGCTCTATTTTTAAGAAAACAGGGTTCATAGGCATCAGAAGACCTGGGTTCCAACTCTGACTGTGTGTCCTTGGGCTCATTTCTCCCCTTTTCTTCATGTCTACAAGATGGAATTTGCTTGTCTTTTGAAATTGAGCCATCTTCCTTCCAATGGTACCTCCTGTGGAAGCTCACTATGAAAGCAGAGAAAACAAAGCTACCCAGGTGTGCAGGTGGTAGGACCAGATCTCAGCCTACCTGCCTCCCCATCACCCCACTGTGGTTCCCCAAATCCCAAGAGCCTGTTTAAAATCCACAGGATGGGAGAGGCTTGTACCCTCCCTGTGCCACTGTTCCTGCCTAAGATCTGGGCAGGGGAAGCCCTGTTGCCCATCACGCACACGTGCAGAGCTCCTGGCACACAACTTCAGCCATCAAAGGAGCCCTGAACCCCAAAGTCAGTGAGGAGGGAACCAAGCATAGTAGTGTGGGGACCCCTCCTGAGAGCACTGCCACGGATACCACACAAAGCTGATGACATATCAAAGGGTATAATCCACAAACTAGATCCTCACAAGAGAGGGGTTAATCCAGAAAGCAGTCTACAAAAGGGAAAGCAGACAGAGTGAGTAATCTACAAAGCAGATAATCTCGACAAATCAACCCACGAACTGAATACTCCACAGTCAAAACAATCTACTGCAAAACCTACAAAGCTGTATTAGACAAAGCAGAAGTTTGCAGTGGTCATCACAGAATGACTACCCAAGGCCTCCCGGGTGGCCCTCTCCCACTGCCAAGCGGTGGTCCTGGCCACTCCATTACTCACTCCGCCTCTGCCTCTTCCCCTTGACCCCTCGGCTGCTGGCGGCGAGGTGTGTCCAGCTCAGAACCAGGGCCACCACACAGAGCCCAAGCCGCATAGTCACTCTCCAGCTCCGGGCCCCCGGCAGGAGGGGTGGTCCCTGGGGGGCAGTGGGTGGTGCTGGGCTCTTGCTAGCGCCTCCGAGGCTGGGTCAGCAGCAGGAGATTCAGGCCTGGGCTGCAGCCCACATCCACCAAATTCTCAACTGTGGACAGAGAGGGTGTGGGGAGCCCAGAGCTCCATCAGCCCAGACAGAGGTCCTCCAAGGCAGAGTTCCTCAAAGCCTCCTCTGAGTGTCACATGGGAGATCTTCGTCACTGCAACAGGCTACCCCAAAAACCAACCTGTAAGGAAGGAGAGAGAGGGTTAATTCTGTGGTAGCCTGGGACCCCCCACCTAAGCTTTAAACCTTCCCTTCCCTAGGTTTCTCTACTCAGAAGTTGCTGAAATATGGTGAACACTCAAACCAGACTTACAGATTGCTGGTGATTTATCAATAATGGGAGGCAGCTGGCCCCACCCCTGACTAATATTGCCCAGCTCACACTGGAAGTCCTTCTTTAAGTCTACCCTACAAACCTTATGCTGCAGTAATATCCTGTCATTTAAAGGGAGCTCTGTTGGCTACCTGACCTGTCAGCCTTCTCTTCCCAGTGCTGTCACCCATGTGCTCTTCACCTGTTCTGCAGCTAAAGCAGTGGCCCCCCAGCAAGCTGGCAGACTCTGCACGGACCTCTGCGCTTGGCGGGAGAAAAGGAAGTAACCCCCCACCACCACCCAGGCACAGAAACTCTGACACAGCAGGCCTGGCAGGCCTGGCCTTTGTGAGGGGATAAAAGAGGCAGCAATGCCCGCCCTGGCCAGAGACACAGAGAATGGCGATAATCCCTCAGCCTCGTGAAAGCCAGGGCTCTGGACCCAGCGGCTGGGGTGAGGGGGTAGGGGGGCCGGCCCCTCCCTGGTGAGATGTGCCTGGGAAGCTGGATGCTTGAGCCTCAGAGCCCCACCTGGAGCCAGGACAGGAGCTCTGCTCCGAACTTAGGCACACACATTCACTCTCTGGCACTCCTGGGACACCCACCCTCAGAACACAGGCGTGCCCACGCTGGCTCGTCCAGGGGCCTGTGAAAACAGTGGGCATCTGACCCATACCATAGGAATCGCGGTGGACCTAGGGAAGCACTGCTTGGCTGTCTGACAGTTAGTATCCTTTGAACAGGTCATTCAGCCTCTCTGAACCTCGGTCTCTTCATCTAGCAAACGGGGATAAACATCACTATTTCACGGGCTTGTGGGGTGTGTCAGCTTAGTGCTGCCTTCCTAATGGGAAAGCTGAGATTCTAGCTAGAGGTGCTCCTCCACTCCCACCGTACTCCTCTTCCCTCTCAGCTCCTGAGTGCCCAGTTCACCCCCTCCCACCTCTCCAAGAGGCCCAAGTGGAGGGTGATAAATGCACCTGCACAGGAGATAAATCATTATCCCCCTAGGGAGTTATGTGCCTCCCTCCTGGCCTCTCCCACTGACTTTGAAGGTCAGACACACTCAAGTGGTTAAGCTGCCTGTGAGAAGTGTTTACACAAGGCTGATGGGTCCCACCTGGTGCTATGGCTGGAGCCAGCAGAGATGCTCCCCCAAATGCCCTGTTAGTGCCAACCCCTGCGTGCCCCTCCAGCACTCCCTGCATGACCTGCCAAAGCCTTCCCATCCTCCCAGCCCCCACAATACTCTTCCACTACCCACAGATTATGCATGTTCAGCTGAGTTTACCAGACTGGGGTCTTCAGCCCCAAGTACATTGTCTCAGAGGCTGAATACATAACATGGTGGTCACTGGCTCAAATGTCAGTCAGAATGCCTGGCTTCAAATGCTGGCTCTGCTATTTGCCAGCTGTGTTACCTTGAGTTAGTAGCTTACCTGGTCTGATGTTTCCTTACCTGCAAGAGGGTTGATTCTTTATAGCTTAAATAAGGTACTATGTGAATCTGTTCAGACTGGTGCTCATATACAGTAGAATGAGGTCTCGATAATGTATCTGTGGTATTCTGTATGATCAAGGTTTTCTGTCTGCATTCCTATGGCCACTTAAAAAGCAATGGTATCCCATGTAGTGTGGTTACCAACTTAATACTGAGCACTGGCATTCAATTTCCATGTTTGCATTTATCTTTGTGGTCAACTGCCTTGGCATGAAAGCAATCACTCAAACTGACAGGATTTCCGGCTAACTGCACGTTTGTCAGGACAAGGTAGTAAACCCCTGGCAGATCCATTCCATCAGTCCTTACATTTCACAAACACGGCATCAGACAAACTTGGAATTAAACCTGGGTCTGTGAGACTTTGGTGTCATCGTGTGATTAGTTTCTCTAGGGTGCTTGGGGCAGAGAAGATCTTTGTAGTCTTTGTGCCCACCAGTATGATGCCTGGGATGACGGGTTACTCAGCAAATACAAGCCCCTACAGACCCAAGTTCCAGCTTTCAGCCTGGGCTCTGCCACTATCTTCCAGTCCCTGTCCCTGGCTGGCCCACTCCCACATGAATCACCTGCAGTCACAACTGCAGCTGGCAAATGGAGAGGAGGATCCAGATGTGAATGTCACCGGAGCAAGTAACAGTGGCTTCCCTCACCTCTGGGATGACAACAGTTTCAAGCACTTTTGGGGGGAGAAAAAAGAATCAACATTGCAAAGGAACATCCATCTCAGGGGTTCACCACCTCACTTGAAGGCGGAAACTTCTCAGGTGGAGAAGGGGATGGGGTCAGAGGCAGAGCTGGCAAGAGACCAGAGAGGCAAGGTGGGAGAGAAGGCCACACACTGGTGAGGGGCACACAGCGGGGGTGGAGCTGAGGTGCAGACTCAGTCCTAACAGAGGGATGGAAACCGTTAACCTTCTTGCTTCGAAGCTATCAGGACAAATCGGTACTCCACTCTGGGCAGGATACCGACCCCAAAATGTAAACCGTCCAGATAATTTCTCATTAGCGCTCCCCGGACCCGCCACGGCCTGGGGAGTTGTGGCCGCAGACCAGGCTGCCTGGGGGGCCAGAAGAATCGCGCAGCCGGGGGCGGGACCAAGTAGGTGCCCGGCTGACCTGTCCGGATCAGCTCTCCGAGGTCAAGCCGGTGCTGGGGCCCGTCCCACGCCCCCTAAACCCGGGGCAGGCAGAAAGATTCACTCACGCCCCTCCATCACCGCCCCCGTGCTCACATTCCCCTTCTGTCTCCACGTCCCGGGCGCCAGGACAGGTGCCCGAGGTGAGAAGGCCCTAAAGTCCCTCCGTCCCCACCCCAAGGTCCAAGAGAGCTCCGAGGCCGACAGACCAGTTTCCCAGAAACCCCTGCCTCCAAGCAGCCGCACCCCGACTCCATCCGTGCTCCTCTCGGACGCCGGGCCACAAAGCCCCCACCCGCCCCCGACCCGGCCTAGGTCCGCTCCCCTGAGACCGACCCACGGGCCTGGGAGGCGCGCGCCCCGCTGCGCAGCTGCCTGCCACGTCGGACCCCGGCCCGGGCTGCGGGACTGGCACTGGGGGACGCCAGGGACCACGGGTCCGGGGAGGGACATCCGAGGCAGTGAGACCAGAGATGAAGAATGTCTGCGTTAGAGGGACGTCTGATAGAGCCGGGAACCTGGGGTACGAGCAAAGGGGCTTAGGGGTGAAAGGGGGCCGAGGCAGCAAAGGGAGGGGACTGTTGGCTTGGCTTGAGGGATGACTGGGGGGCAGGGCTCGGAAGAGGGGTCTAGGAGTGCTCCCTAAGCGCGATGCGAGGAGAGGAGTCGGGCTCCCCGCGTCTCTATCTCCCCCTAACCCGGCTCGGCCAAACCCGACGGGAGGGCCCGCGGCACCCAGGTCCCAGGACAGGGGGCACCGGGCGGCCGAGAGAGGACTCACCTCGCGTTGCCAGCGCGCGGGTCAGGCCCGGAAGGCGAAGGGGAGGCCGGCCGCGGGACAGTCCTGGGCGCCCCGCTCGCCCGCGCTCCGCCCGCGCGTTCCCAAGTTGCTCAATCTGCGGGCGGCTCTCGCCCTCGCCCTGGGGGGCAGCGCCCCACCCGGCGCATCGGTCCTCGGGGCGGCTCTCGGAGGCCCTCAATGTCCGCAGGGCCGGGGGCCACGGCCCCACTCCAGCTCGCCGCTCCGGGCTCGTGTCTCCGCCGCGCCTCAGCCTGGCCGCCCGGAGCGCCCAGCCGGAGAGGGGCCGGTGCGCGCTCGCACGCGGGAGGGAATCCCCCCTTCGCGGTCCCACCCCCAGCCGGCCCCCCTTCTTGGGATCCACAAGAAAAAACGGACTGGAGCGTTGGGCCCGGGAGTCCGCAGCCCCCTCCCGCACACCCTTCCCCGGAGCTGGCTGCTGCGCCTTGAGCGTGAGGCTGGCAGAGGGACAAGTCCCCCGGACCCCGGCGCAGACCCTCGGAGGGGTTCCAAGCAGCCAGAGGAGCGGCACAATTCAGTGCATCTTGGGGTCGGAACAGGACCCAGGACCCTCGCCAAACGTGTTTCCCCATCGGGAACCGGGGAGTTACAAAGAGTAGACTCAACAGAGCTTTGTGGTCCTGACTACACTCTCCTCCCCTTCAGGGTCAAATTTTCAGAGCATCTTCCCAGTTTAGAAGAAATATCAAGGTTGTAAGATTCTGAGCACCCAGGTGAGGACACATAAATTTAAAGGAGATAACAGATACAATCTATGCTCAAGTCCTGGCACTATCACTTACCAGCTGTGCAGCCCTGCCAGAGTTACTTAACCTCTCTGGGCCTCCAGCTTCTGTCTGTTTTGAGGGTTCAGTGAAATGAAGGGTGCAAGTGCCTGGTTAGTGGTAGGAACTCCATAAATGTTTGTGGGATGAATATTGAAGGCTGCAGACACCTGCAGTGACCCAGATGATGTTGAAGTCAAGCCTGGAGAGGGAGGAGGGAGACCCGCTTCCCGGGTGATAAACAGCTGTGCTCCTGCCTCCCTTCAGAGTGGGTGAAGGAGGATGAGCTACAACTGCAGTTAGCGGCAGTTAAACTGGAGCAGAAGAGATGGGCTGATTGTGGGTAGGTTGTGGGGTGAGTAATCAAGACAGGCTGTAGAATCTCCTTCGGGGTGGGTAGAGCCCTGACTATTGAGCCCCGTGCACAGGGTCCTTCACAATGTCGGGGGGATGGATGGAGTGGCCCCAGAGTATCTGATGGCCAGGGAACAGGACAGTAGATAGCCGGAGAGAGTGGAGCCCTTGGACCCCACATGCACAGTAGGGCTCACACAGCAAGCCTTGCCAGGTTTGCAGGAGGCAAATAGCCATTCCGAGTTGGTCCAGGGCCCCTTCAGCCCCTCCCGTGTCCCCTCCGTCCCCACTCTGCCCTGAGCCTTCCCTGTGTCTCACCATCCCTTGGCTTGCTTTGTGCCTAATCAAACAGCCCAAATGCCGAAAACTCAGTGTTTATTTTATTTTATTTTTTTACACACTTGCATAACTCCCTGACAAGCCACGCCAGGCGTTGGGCTTTTGTTTGGTTTTATTTTGTTGCATTTAGGGAAAAAAGAGAAAGAGAGAGAAGAGAATAACACAAACCACGCCGCCCTAGAAGTGTCTTGGGCCAGGCAGTGGGCTCGGGTTTCCAGCCTGAGGAAAAGTCTGTGGGAGACGAGGGGCCTCGCTACTAGGCTGAGGAATGAGTGCGAAGGGGAAGAAAGCCACCTGGGTCCCCGCAGCTAGGGAATTGGAACCATGTGATGGTAACGGGTGGGTAATAAATAAAGGGCATTGCTTGTGCATCTAATATACGCCAAACACGGTGCTTTGCGGATCTATTCTGTTACCTAATTGTGCAACCATTTTGGTATTTTTCTTCCTTTTTTCTTCCCTCCAGCCTCGTTTTCTTGAACATGGAATGCTGAGCCTCCAAGACATCCAGTAAAGTCCCCCGAGGTGCATAACCTGTAAAGTGGCTGGACCAGTTCAGGGTATTCCAAGCGATTTATAGTTTCCCAACAAAGCTGTGTTGCCCTGAGTTTGCACATACTGTTAATTCTACCTAGCAATGTCTTCTTCCTTGACCTTTCTCTTATCATCCTTTAAAACACCTACGTGAACTTTTATCTGGCCACCTTGCAAGTCAGCCAATGGACCTTCTATTGACCACACTGATATTAGCCTGTGCATGTTTCTTCTCCTGTACTAGAAGTTCCTGAAGGGCAGGAACTGCGTCTGATTTATCATCATGATGTCAACTCCAGGGACAGTTAATCTATGTTTTGTGACTGAACCCCCCCTCCAGCCAGGACTATAACTTTTGTAGTCCTGTGGACTTGCTCAGATGATGTCCCCAATTACTATCATGACTCCCCTAAGCCCAGATCATCACTCTTAAAAGATCAAAAGCCAGTGGACTCAGGCCACAGTAGTAGCTCCTAGAGATTGGCAAATTTCCTCAAGTTCTGTGTCATCTTTTACCAGGCAAAGACTGTTTACTACCTGCATTGTCACTGTATTAATGATATTTCAATTACAAGCAAAAGAAGGCCAACTCAAAATAGTTAAAGCAATCAAGATTTATTATCTCATGTGTCAAAAAGGGCTGATGTAGGAAAGATCCGGAAGCTCAATTATTTCATTAAGAAACAGATTGTAAGTTGGGGGTGTAGCTCAGTAGTAGAATGCTTGCTAAGCATGGGTGACACCTTGAGTTTGATGCTCAGCACCACAAAATAACAATAACAATAATTAGGTTATTTTCTGTATTCTCATTTGGTCATCTTCAGTGTGTTAGCTGCTACTTTCATGAGCACAGGATGACTGCAGTAGCTCCAGGTACCACATCTTCACCCACTGAGCTCACCAACTTTTCTCTCTCTCCCTGTGTCTCTTTTTTCACTGTACCCCCACCTCCACCCCACCGTGGCGTTTCACTATGTTGCGCAGGCTGGTCTCAAACTCCTTGGCTCAAATGATCCGTATCCCTTAGCCTCCTAAGTAGCTTGGACTAAAGGCATATACCACCGCGTCCAGCTAGCTGTCTCTTTCTCAGAGTTATGAGATGACATGCCCACCAGTGAACCAATCACAGGCAGGAGAGATGATGCTACTACAATTAGTTTAGACCAGGTGAGGTGTACCTGAGCTACCCAGGGGAGGGTATTCATAGACAGCAGTAGAACTCTATGAGCACTGAGGACTTTTGAGGAGCTCTATGTTCATTACTGTTACTCCAAGAAAAGCTATTATTCCAGGAAGCCTGCAGACTTCCCGGCTGTGACCCCACCAGCCATGAAGGTCACCGCCTCCTCACTCACTCCCAGTCATCATCAAGACAGCTGAGATGGTCCAAACTGAGTCTGCCAATTTCCTGACCTAAAATGAAGCTTTTTTCATTCTTTTTTTTTTTTTTTTTTTTTTCAGTACTGGAGATGGAACTCAGGGACTCACAAATGCCAGCCAAGTGCTCTAACACTGAGTTACACCCCAGCCCTAAAACTGAACTCCTGATCCCGACATAGAACTTCTTCCTCTCCAGTTTTCCTCTTTTGGCAACCAGCAGAGAGCCTGATAGAGCAGGAAACTGGGGTGGGCTTTCATTCTTCTCCCTTCCTGGCCTCCCAAGGCTACTCTACTGCCAGGTTCTGGGTGGTGACTCCAGCCCCTTTCCTCTACCTCTCCTCCCACTGCTTTCGCTTCCAGCCATCTTTGCTGCTTACCTGGATGGCACCCCCTCACCCCCCTGTGGCCGTTGCCCCCCAGTGCAGGCTCACACAGTAGCCAGAGCCAAGTCTGAAAAATCAAAGCAGATCCCATCACCCAATCCTTTGCCCAAACCTTCCAGTGATTTTCCATTCCACTTAGAATCCAACCCAAACACCATCCCTTACAAGGCCATATCCTTTCAGCTTCATGTAACACCTCTCTATCTCTGTCTCTCTCTGTCTCTCTCTGTCTCTCCCTCTTTCTCTGTCTCTGTCTCTCTGTCTCTGACTCTCTCTCTTTCTCTCTTCCTTTAGCCTACTGGGTTTCTTTTGATTCTTTGATAATTCCCAGCTCTTTCTCATCTCAGGGCCTTTGCACAGGTCTGCTCCCTTCCTCTTCCCACAGCTCTTCACATGCTGCCCTTTCCTTCCCACCTGGCTCAGTTTGAGCACTGCTTGTTATTTCCTGACTTCTCCAGCTAAGCAGATCCCCAGCTACTTGGCATTACAGTGTCCTTTCTGTTTCACCCTACTCTGCCTGGTCATCATTTACTTGCAGGCTCCCCTTTCCCCCCTCAGTCCACAGCAGCCAGAGTGATTGTTTAGAAGTAGAAATCAGACTACAGCACCTGTATTAGTTTCCTATTGCTGCTGCAATAAATCACCATAAACTTAGTGACTTAAAGCAATTTAAATTTATTCTCTTACAGTTCTAGAAGCCAGAAGTCAGAAATAGGTTTGGAGGACTGCATTTCCTTCCGGATGCCTACCTGTTTTACCACCTCTAGAAGCTGCCTGTGTTCCTTGGCTCACAGCCCCCTCCTTACATCACTTGGAGCTCTATTCTGTCATCATCCTGCCTTCCTTGGCTCCCAGCCTCTTGCCTCCCTTTTACTAGAGCCCTTGTTTTGACAGTGGGCTCACGTGGATGATCTAGAACAATCTCCCCATCTCGAGATCCATACCGTTCCAACTTTAGTATATGTGCTGCTGAAGTGAGCACTCGGGATTTGTATTGCAACAACAGCTGCAAAGTCCCTTTCACTATGTAAGGTAGCATAGTCACAGGTTTTGGGGATTAGGATGGAGATATATTTGGAGGACAGTGTCCTACAGCACCCTGAAATCCTTCCAGTGCATCCCATTGCATTTGGAACTAAAGCCAGACACCTCAGCTGACTCACAACTGCCTTGGGGACCTGCACTTACTGCCCGCTCAGCCTGCCTGGGTTGCCCCTAGGCTGCACCAAACCCAGTCCTGCCCAAAAGTCTTTCTGTTGCTTTGCCTTCTCCTTTGAGTTCTCTTCTCCCAGATTTGCACATGGCCTGTTCCTTCTTGTCATTCAGGTCTCAGTCAACTGTCACCTCCGCGGAAGCCCCTTTTCTTATCTCTAGGAGCTGTAGTAGATCATTTTGGGTTACTTTCCTCGTGGCTCTTTATCTCTGCCTGAGGTTTTCTCATTCATTTCTTCGTGTGGGCTGTCTTGTCTTTCCTGTGTCCTTACCACTGGAACTCAGCCAGTATTTGCTGAATGCGTCAATGAC